GACCACCCTCCACCCTCCTTCCCAGTCGCGACCTCGAGAAGCCCGTCCGCAGCCAGCCTCCCCCGCGGCACCGGCCCACGAGCTCGCTCGTGCCCGCCAAGCTCGCACACCCGGATACGTCAGGACTAGTCCGGCCAGGCGGAGCCCGAGTGCACCCCACTCGCGACGCTCACCGGCCCGGTGCCAGCCTACCTGTCTCGGGGCTCCGGTGTCCGCCGCCTCCACATGGCTCTGCACCGCGCAGCCACTTCTTCAGAATCGCCTGAGGAGAAGCGCAAGGACGCGGGCGTCTCTGGAAGGCTCCAACCCAGCACGGGGCTGCGCCCTCTTCCAGGACCTGCACAAGGCCTCCACCGACGAGTGGGGTGGCCCCCAGGCCGCCCTAGAAGCCACCATGGTTCTGGAGAAGAACGTGAGGGGCGCCCGCCCAGAGCCCGTGAGCGTGCCCTGCTGGCGCAGGCCCCTGTGTCTGTGAGCTCCGGGAGAACCACTTCCGGGGTGAGGAGGTGACCCCGTCAGGAAGATGGCGGCCCCCTGACTCAGCTCTCGAGCACAGCCAGAGCCTCTGGAGCCCAGCAGGCTTTGAGGAGCCCCTGTAGTGTCCCCCTCATGTCCCCCTGGTGTCGGAGCTTCTGCCTGAGCCTCTCAATGCAGCCACTAGACAGCTTTTCAGCCACGCGCCAAGACCTTTCCCACACCTAGACCAAATGGAAAAATAAATGTTTTCGCAGGGAAAAACAAAACAAAAAGGCAGCCGCAGCTTCCCAGTCTTCTAAAGGAAGACCAAGTTGTAGATACAGAGAATATTAAAAGCTATAAGAGAATATAAGGGACAACTTTATAACTATATATTTTTTTCCTTGACCATGTTAGCGGTTATTTCAAAGTCAGTGTCTGTTCTCTGTGGGTCTTCTTTATTGTCTGTTGTTTCTCATTTTTTATTATCTTCTTGTGTCTCTTCATGGGCCTTTTTTTATTGAGTGCAGATATTCCATATCAGAAATTATAAAAATAAATGGAGCTCTAGGATTATGAGAGAGTCTCTCCCAAGAGGGTTTTCATTTGCTCCACCAGACCACTGCCCCACTAAGAATCTGTATCATCTTAATCTGGTCAGGGGGTTAGATGGTTCAAATCTAGACTTCAGGCACTTCTACTTTTGCCTAAAATGAATAAACCTCATTCTCTATCTTTCTTTAAAATCATCTAACAACTATTAAAATAGTGAGTTTTCTGGTTTTTATTTTTCTACTCCAGTCTTTTAACTCAGACTCTAGGACCAGCCCAAATCCTGGAACTACACAGCATGTGTCAACAGACTAGCTTCCAGAGAAACCTCTCTTTTCTAGTCAGAGGACCAGGTAGGGGATTGTGAATTTGAAGAAAATCTCCCACTTTTTTCTTTTATTAATCTCCTGACCCTGCCCTGTATAGTCATAAAGCCACAACTCTTGCAACAAAGCAGCTGTGATGAGTTGCAGGCACCTAAAATCCGGAGAAAATCCTTCTTTATTACATGAGAACTGAGAAAAGGAGTCCCTGTGATCTGAACAGTGTTGATGGAAACTCTATTGTTTTCTCCCTCTTTTGTTTCTACCCTTTGTTCCTGAGCCAGACCCGCTATGGAAAGTACGCAACTGCATGAAAAAACAACAATAACAACAACAACAACAAAAACCAGAACTCCTGCTTTCTAACTCCAGCTTTCTAAGGACCATGAAAAGGTGCTCTTGAGAGCTAGGGGATATTGGAAAAATCACAGAAGAGTGAGAACTGAAGAAATGAAGGCCCTAATTCTGTGTATGAAGCCACTTCTTGAGCTCTTCATGAACCGCTATGACTCTGACTCTGGTAGCAAAAGGGTTCTATTCAAAAACCCCTCCCCAGCCAAGCTTACTGATAAAACTCAAGGGTGTCTGTACTTGGCCCTGACTCTTTGTTTTTCCAAGTCATGGAGCCCCTCATCCTCAGAAAATAGACAACTACAAAACATATTCCTCTCTAGCCAAACCACAACACACATTCTGGAAGGGCCCTGGACAGAGGCTTCCCCACCCCCACCCCTGACTCTTAAACTTGTTACCCCTGCTCTACCTGGCCAAGAGTTGACCCTTCTTACAAACCCTCCCCTGTGGGTGCAACTGCAACCCACATCGTAAAATCCCTTAAAAGGCCCAGCCTAACAAACATAGGGCCAACATCTCCCTCCATGCCTGGCCTCTCTCCACCCTTCGTAAATAAACTCTGCCCTGCTTATTGCTCTACTTTTTTGTGCAAATCTTTGCCGCCAGCATTACTGGCCACTCTAACTGGTAGTACAGTGAAAGAGTGATACATTCTGATCAGGTAGGATATATCCCAGGAATGTAAGTAGATTAATTAATTACCAGATCAAATGAGAAAAAAAAGACCTATATGATAATCTCAAAGGAATAACATTTGGTAAAGCTAAACCCATACCCTGGTTCTTTTAATTAACAAATTCAAAATAGAAAAGAAATTTTAAAAAGAAAAGAAATTATCCTTATGAGGTAAAAGTTATCTACCAGGAATTTAAATCAAATATCATATCTAATGGGGAAACTACAGAGGCATTCTCAGTAAAGTAAGTAACAAGAAAGGTAAGGGGAAAAGAGAATACTAACACTTTAGTAAAAAAAAAAAAAAAGGTGAAAATTAGGTCTTTCTTGTTTTTTTAAAAAAGATTTATTTATTTGGGGTGCCTGGGTGGCTCAGTGGGTTAAAGCCTCTGCCTTCGGCTCAGGTCATGATCTCAGGGTCCTGGGATCGAGCCCCACATCGGGCTCTCTGCTCAGCAGGGAGCCTGCTTCCTCCTCTCTCTCTGCCTGCCTCTCTGCCTACTTGTGATCTCTCTGTCAAATAAATAAATAAGATTTTTTTTAAAAAGATTTATTTATTTATTTGGGGGGGTTGGCTGAGAGAAAGGGAGTAAAGCAGACCCTCCCTCCCACTCAGCGCAGAGCCCATGTGCTCAGTCACACCACCCTGAGATCATAACTTGCGCCAAAATCAAGAGTTGGACCCTTAACTGAGTGAGCCACCCAGGCACCGCAGATCTTGTTTCTTATTCTTGCCTTCTCTCATATAAACTCCCACCCCCAACTCACACATGCTCTGATCCATGTGTAGGATTTGGTGGGGTAGTAAATCTCACAAGCTTACCTTATAGAGAGATGGTGCTCCATTCTAGTAATCACACTCAACCTATGCGTCATAGTTACAAGTTATAATATCTAGAATCTACTGTATTAGAGTACTTTATATGTACTATTTCTACTTTTTCACTACCTTCGGAGGTACATAACATTATCTCCATTTTTAGATTGGACATTGCAGCTCTGGGAAATTATTTTGCTTATCATAGGTCACACAGCCCATAAATGGCTGAGTCAGGATGAATAATACTTCAGCGGTAGCCAAAGCCACAGCTTTTTCCACTATGCCCTATTGCCTCTCTTCTGAGGAAGAAGCTGTGGAAAGAATTCCTCTGGCATCACTCAGGGAATAGGATACTATGTCACTAGGAAGATTTTCTAGCCAAGGTCTTGGTGCCTGTGATGATTCATATTTAGATCATGTTCCTTGAGAGTAGCAAAAGATATCTGAAAGCAGCTCGTTTTAGCATCTGAGTTGTAAAAAAAGTTCTCAGGGAAAGCATCCAGTGATATTGTAGGAAAATCTCAGAGGTCACAGGAGCTCTTTGTTCCTCCCTGTGGCTAAAATTTTAACCCTTGCTGAAATTTTCCTCCTTCCAGCCATAATAATAAAGGCTTAATACTCTAAAGAAAAATTCCGGGAGAGTCTGCAGTTTTCTGATCCAACACCCCTGAGCCCACACTTTTTGGGTAACTGCACTATTAGCTGAATTCTGGAGGGGCCTGGACATCTAGCCAGGATGAAGTCCCAATGTATTTTCTGGCCTATGGCAAGGCAAACTTGGCCTTGGGGAGCCACATAATCACATATTTCCAGTTGTATACAAACAGATTGAGATCTACTCTTTGGGCCGCAGCCTAAAAGAACTGGATTTTGCCCTTTTCCCCCCTATCTGAGAGGTATGAAGAGAGATTCCATAACAGAAATCCAATTATTTGGTGGTGTCAGTTGGAAAATGGTGGCCTAAACATCAGGATATGTGGCTTCTTGCCCCCAAACTGCAACTAATAGATCAAGAGTAGTTGCTTAACTTTTTTAAGCTTGGCTGCCCACCCTAAAATTTCACTGTTGAGCCAAGTATCTTTGAAATTCTCTCTAGCTAAAACATTCCAGAAATTTTATCGGTCTGGTAGTGAAGAGAAAGTGACTCTCTATGTTTGAGATTAGCCCCAAATTATCGTGGGGGAACTTCTCCTGCCTCTCCATTGAAGTTCATGCCTACATCACTTGGTCTAGTTTAAGTATCATCATCGGATGCTGCCCAACGTGAAGACTTCATTTGAAAGGTTTCTAATTTTTTCTTTCTTTCTTCCTTTTTAAGAAACTTTGTATTTTTTGTCAACACTATTTCCATGTTGTTTGCCTTAGTGCAAGAGTAGCTTAAAAACACTCACTTTACCAAAGAGTTCCAAAAGCCTCAGGGAAACTCCAGCTAAACAAAATTTGAATAAGTTTCTCTTTCCAGAAAATATAAGACATTATAATGAAGTGTTATAACCAGTTTTAATTAAATAGTATAGTAAGATATATAACTCATATTTCAGGTCTGAGTTCTTCACTTGTTATAATGAGCATTGGGTGTTGTATATAAGTGACAAATCACTGAATTCTACTCCTGAAGCCAATATTGCACTGACTGTTAACTAACTATAATTTAAATTAAAATTTTTTTTGAAGAGGACTTAGTTCCTTCCCCTCCCTTCCTCGGCACTGCCTGCGGAGGTGACAGCCATCTCTTACTGGTTTTCTGGTCTTGGGGTTGCTGCTGCAGCCCGACCACCTAACAACAGACTGACCACCATGAGCTTCGAGTCGATGGCATCATGGCTGCCCTCAGACTTCTGGTGAAGTACAAAATCGTTAAAAAGAGAACCAAGAGGTTCATCCGGAATCTGTCAGACCAATATGTCCAAATTAAGCACAACTGGTGGAAACCCAGAAGCATTGACAATAGGGTGTGCAGAAGATTCAGGAGCCAGATCTTGATGCCCAACGTTGGTTACGGAAGCAACAAGACAACAAAGCGCATGTTGCCCAATGGCTTCCGGAAGTTCCTACTCCACAACGTCAAGAAGCTTGAAGTGCTGTTGAAGCTTGAAGTGCTGTTGATGTGCAACAAAGCTGACTGTGCAGAGACTGCTCACGATGTCTCCTCCAAGAACCACAAAGATGTGGACAAAACAGCCCAGCTGGCAATCAGAGTCACCAGTCCTGACGCCAGGCTGTGCAGTGAAGAAAATGAATAGACAGCTTGTGTGCATATCACATTTGTGTTAATAAAACCATAAAACTACCACCCAGCATTTATTTCACTCCTTAAAAAAAAAAAAAAGACTGAGTTCTTTTTTTGATTGGCACCCAGCTAGAAAAAGACTTCCGTTACTTTTTTTTTTTTAAGTCATCATATCTAATATTCAGAAGCACATCTTTGAATTGCAAATAAAAAATAGTACTTACCAAAATACATGCCTTATTATTGGGTACTACTGCATCCTTTTCTCCCATAGGAGATATTCCTTCATTCATATCTCCATAGAGGAGGGGTCATGTGGTTTATATAGCTAGGACTAAAGATGGGGCTTGCTTTGACTTTTCACTGTAAATAGAAAAAATGTGCTTTTATTTGGGGGATTGATTTACAGATTAAATACAGCCTCAGCCAATAGTCATATTAATCATTATGGTATAAAAATAAGCTCCTGAAAATATCAGGAGAAGATAGAAAAGATGGGAACAAGTACGGACATCTTCAAGGAAAATATATTTCATGATACCTACCATGAAATACGCATTCTCAGGAAGAGAACACATTATGGCTTAGAGGCTAATCATCAATAATAATCAATGTCAATGATATGATCTTTCATAAGTGGTATTCAAAATGAACTTGTCCAGAACCATTGTTAAAGTTAGTGGATTTAAGACAGGTTGCATTGTGAAGACAAATTATCTTAGGACTTGGCAGGACATGGGCGGGGGTTGGGGGCTGGGTATCACTTTGCATGTCACTGTAGCATGTGTTGAAAATAGACTTTTTTTTTTTTTTTCTCCGTGGCCTTTATGAGGCTGTGTCAGGGGACTCTAAAGCGAGTAAGTGGTTGGAAGAGAAACAATTGGCAGGTGGATCTAGGTCAGACAGTATTGTCTGGAGCCTGTGAACATTGCTACCAGACCAGTATCACATCAGGCAGACCCTGGATGAAACAGCTGCTCTGAGAAAAGTCATTTTCACTTTACCCACACAGGGAGAACATAACGAAGTTCTGCATTTTTAAAATCTGAGGTCTGGGGCGCCTGGGTGGCTCAGTGGTTAAAGCCTCTGCCTTCGGCTCGGGTCATGATCTCAGGGTCCTGGGATCGAGCCTCACATGGGGCTCTCTGCTCAGCAGGGAGCCTACCTCCTCCTCCTCTCTCTCTCTGCCTGCCTCTCTGCCTACTTGTGATCTGTCTGTCAAATAAATAAAAATCCAAAAAAAAAAAAAAATCTGAGGTCTAATGAGAAGACTGCTTTCCGCTGATGTTCTAGCCTTGGGTGCAGTCTCATTGCCAGGAAGAAGGTGAGGGTCAAATGGGAACATAATCTGGAAGATCTCTTGATGTTTACGTTTCTAACGCTTCAAAATTTGAGTGACAGTTCCAACATTTTCTTTGAAAATGTATCCAAATAGAACTCTTTTATACAAGCTAACACACTACACAACCTCAGGTTTAGAAATACTATTAGTATTAGTATTAGTATTAGTATTAGTATTAGTATTAGTGGAGGTGTAGAGAGCATCTGAATCAGCGGGTACAAAGAAGCAAATGCTTTTGAGAGAGAATCTATAGATCCAGCGTGGAAACGACTAAGAATAGGGTATAGAGGGTGCAAGGAGAGCTTTCCCTGTAAAGATGCGGAGGAACAAGAACATAAATTAGCAGTTCAAGGGGACTGAGTGAGAATTCTGTGATCCCTCTGAGAAAGTGAAACTGGGAGAACTTGTGAGTCCAGCCAGCACCCAAATCCTTAATAGTATTAGAGATGCAAATCTTGTGGGTTGGCATGTGTGGCCGTTGCAGATACGTGGTTCTCAAGCTTTAGGGAAATAAGAATCATCTAGGGAGCAGGTTTAAAAGGTAGCAAGCCAGACCCTACTCCTAGAGATTCCATCAGTAGATTTGGGGTTGGCACAGGAATCCAGGTGTCATTCAAATGGTCCTCGCATTTTGAGAAAAATACTGTGCTCTTTTGGAGTAAAGGACTCAGCCATTCTCCTATCCCTTTCCTCTGCTTTGAAAAAAAAAAAAATCAAACTTTACAAAGTGTTTCATTTTCCCTCTTAAAAGAAATAGCATTGAAATCTTAGCGGAATTCCTTACCACATATCTTTAACACTTTTTTAGGGTTACAAATGTTCCAAACATTGTATACACTTTATTTATGTTACAATATTAACTATTGTTTAATGAGTATTTGCTAATTTTCAGGCACTCTAATTAAACGCAGGATATCTAAATAACGTCTAAACTTCCTACAAAGAAAATATTATTCTCTATTGTTCTGGCTAAGAAAATTGTGGCTCACAAAAGTTCGGTAACTTGTCTGGGGTCACAGGTTAATACACAAAATATAGTGTGAATCCAAAAACCGTACTTTTTCCAGTGCTTTATTTTAAAATGATCTAATGAATGGGAGATGAAAACATCTCCATGTGACAAATTCCTACAAGTGTATATAAGAGGCTAATGCTGTAGACAGAGCTGTCATTTCTACTTAATCCCCATAGATAACACTGACACATTGAAAATAGCTTAAATCACCCATCAATATTCTTGTCTTTTCTTGTCTACTGCTCAGTTGACTAACAAAGAAAAGATGATACCAGTACTTTGTATCAAACTCTTAGGAAATAGAGTTGTGTATATTACACACCCTGTATGTTTGACCTGTAGAGCAATTAAATTATTTGCCTGGAGACCTCTGATATATACTATCCTTTGGCACTTTCAGCCCAGATTAAGGGATTGTGCCTTCTCCCCTAGACTCACTCATCTGATAATGCAAAGGGGCAGCCCTGTGATTCAAAAGAGCTCTCTGTGGTCAGAGCCGGAAAGAACTGGATTTGCCTCTCAGCTCCACCTCTCATTAGCTCTGTTTTAGGACTAATCAACTGTCCTTTCTGAGCCTTTCTGTCCAGGCTTCTCACTCTTAAGGTATGAATGAAAATGGATACTTAACAAGATAAAAGAAATAAGTTTCTCTTATTTACACACAGTAGGTAGACTGTAGGTTTTGTTTAACTATGGTGTTTATAAATGAAGTTTAACCCTAACTTTATACAACTTGAAAAATGGAAATTTCTTCAGTCTCACCCTGTTTGTGTAGATGAACTCAAATATGTGCTCAACACATTGGGCTTTGCTGAGTCATCCCTAACTACTGTCAAACTATTCACGGTGGTGACAGAGATAGATCAAAAGAAGCAAGCCCCATGAATATTTCATAAAGATGCAAACTGCCTTTGGAAAAGCTGTTTCAACTGTCTAAAGTTTAAAGGAAGTTTGCTTTGTTCATTACTGTGAGAGAGTTTTCAGAGCACAGATTTCATGCCCCCTCTTCTTACACTGTGGTGAGCAGAGATCATGTATCTAATCAAAGAATCAGGTACATGTCTATTCCCAGGATTATTACATCCAGCCAAGCATTTCTTGATGGATTCAACGGATACTTACCTAGTGATGATGGTCCGCCAGCTAGGAACTAAAATTTAGCTTTGAAATGAGAACCCCCCCTGCCCCCGCCACTCACCCATGGACTAAAAAGAAACGAGAGAGACAAACAACAAACTATGTAATGGGATAAGGGCTAAGAACACATGAGGCTTGAAACTCATGAAGAGAATCATCTGGGGATAACCTCCCAGAGGTAATAACACTTAATGGCAATCTTAACAAATGCATTAGCCAGGAAAAGAAAGAGAAGAAAGTTCAGACAAAGGGAAGAGATGTACAAGGTCACAGCACTGTAAGAGAGCATGGCATACTTGAAAACTACAAATAATAAGAGATAGTGGGAAATGAGGGGTGGAGTGGGGCACGTGGGACAGGTAAACAAAAGAGAAGTTACAGGTAGACATAAGTCAGCTCAAAAAGGTCTTCCGTGCCAAAAATTTTTAAAAGACATTCTAAAAGCAAGAAAATGAGGAAACACATCTAGGAGAATGATAGGTAATGTGTGTGGAGGAAAGAGGCACAGAACCAGTTTGGTTTATTTGATCCCTACCTAATGGGGGTACTCTAGGTATTCAGAACAGGATTCTGGGTAGTGAGGTCTCAAGGAGGTAACACACATACCCGCCTGCTAAGGCAGGCTCTGGGATCCCATCCAGAAATGACAGGTCTCATGCACCCAAATGGCTGGTAGGCATGTGGAATGGCACAAGAATTGTGTCCTAGGGACGCGCACCTGGGGTGCTCAGTCAGTTTGGTGGCTGCCTTCAGCTCAGGTCATGATGGCAGGGTCCTGGGAGGGAGCCCTGCATCAGGATCCCCGTTCAGCAGGGAGTCTGCTTCTCCCTCCCTCTCCACCGCTTGTTCTCTCTTTTTCTTTCTCTCTCCACGGAAAAAGAAACACCTTTTTTTCTGCGAATCTTGCTCTTTTGACTCTAAACAAATAAGAATAGGAAGAAGGTGGAAGAAAATAAAACTGCACATCCAACCTTTACCTTTTCATGTGAGACTGCCTTCTAAAGAAGGATTCTGCAGCAGAAAACCATTTACCATGCTAATGGACATCAAAAGAAAGCTGGGTTGGCAATCCTTCTATCAGATAAATTAGATTTTAAACCAAAGACTATAATAAGAGACGAAGAAGGACATTATATCATACTTAAAGGGTCTCTCCAACAAGAAAATCTAACATTTATAAATATTTACGCCCCTAACATGGGAACAGCCAATTATATAAGCCAATTAATTACAAAATCAAAGAAACACATTGACAATAATACAGTAATAGTAGGAGATTTTAACACCCCCTCACTGAAATGAACAGATCATCTAAGCAAAAGATGAACAAGGAAATAAAAGCTCTAAATGACACACTGGGCCAGATGAACATCACAGATATATTCAGAACATTCCATCCCAAAGCAACAGAATACACATTCTTCTCTAGTGCACACGGAACATTCTCCAGAATAGATCACATCCTGGATCACAAATCAGGTCTCAACCAGTACCAAAAGATTGGGATCATTCCTACATATTTTCAGACCACAATACTTTGAAACTCAAACTTAATCACAAGAGGAAAGTTGGAAAGAACTCAAATACATGGAAGCTAAAGAGCATCCTACTAAAGAAGGAATGGGTTAACCAGGAATAAAGAAGAATTTTTAAAAATTCATGGAAACAAATGAAAATAAAAATATAACTGTTCAAAATCTTTTGGATGCAGCAAAGGCGGTCCTGAGAGGAAAGCATATAGCGATACAAGCCTTTCTCAAGAAACAAGAAAGGTCTCAAGTACACAGCCTAACCCTACACCTAAAGGAGCTGGAGAAAGAACAGGAAAGAAAGCCTAAACCCGGCAGGAGAAAAGAAATAATAAAGATCAGAGCAGAAATCACTCAAACAGAAACCAAAAGAACAGTAGAACAGATCAATGAAACTAGGAGCTGGTTCTTTGAAAGAATTAATAAGATTGATAAACCCCTGGCCACACTTATCAAAAAGAAAAGAGAAAGGACCCAAATAAATAAAATCATGAGTGAAAGAGGAGAGATCACAACCAACACCAAAGAAATACAAACAATTATAAGAACATATTATGAGCAACTATACACCAGCAAATTTGACAATCTGGAAGAAATGGGTGGATTCCTAGAACATATAAACTACCAAAAGTGAACCAGGAAGAAATAGAAAACCTGAACAGACCCAAAACCAGCAAGGAAATTGAAGCAGTAATCAAAAGTCTCCCAAAACGCAAGAGGCCAGGCCCAGACGGCTTCCCAGGGGAATTCTACCAAACATTTAAAGAAGAATTAATACCTGTTCTCCTGAAACTGTTCCAAAAAATGGAAATGGAAGGAAAACTTCCAAACTCATTTTAAAATTTATATGTTTGGTTGCCGCTGTACTATGAGCAGCTCAGCTTTACAAGGTGCTTGAATGGGCAGTCTGGGGGTCATGAGGAGAAGAGACCATTGCCCAACAGAGAGCTATCCCAAGGGTGAGATGGTAAGTGGGGAGAACTCTCCTCACTGCTGGGGGTACATGTGGCCAGGTGTTCCCAGGCCCAGTGTCAGGTTCCTATGTGAGCCCAGACATGATTCAGATGATTGTTGGTGGCAGGAGGTCCCTCCCAGTGAGTGAGGAGGCACAATGGTGAGGAAAACCAGAGACAGTCCAGCTTTGAATATCAGAGGCAGTCAGAACCTTGAGACCCTCCCTCATGGGGTATAACTTGTGCCTGGTTTGAGAGGTTCTTTGTGCTTTAGCTGTGGTGATACTTTCAATTTCCTGCAATTGCCATGCTGTCTGACCTTTGAAATTCTATTCTTGCTGTTCCCTCTGCCTGGAATTTCTTCCACCAACACCCACCCTATCCTCTCATTGAAGAACTTATGCCATTATAACCACACAGTCATATATCTGTCTCCCCCAGTAAATGAAATGCTCCTTGAGCAGGGGGCTTGCCTGTCTTATTAGCTATTTTTTCCCCAGTGGGGGTATAATGCCCAACACATTCTAGTTCCATATAAGTACTTGTCAAATTGAACGAATTAAAGATCGAACTACACTAAAGCTAGTGATGGTTCAAGCTCCTGAGCTGGAATACCAAGTAGGATCCAGCCTTCTGGTTGCAGAGAACTAGCATCTTGTTTCAGTGGGTGAGGCCAACACTGAGGGAACTGTGATGATTCAGGTACCTGAGGACTCAGGGAAGGTTGTACATAAAAGGAGACTTACAGGACACCTGGATGTCTCCGTCGATGAAGTGTCTGCCTTCGGCTCAGGTCATGATCCTGGGGTCCTAGGATCGAACCCATGTTGGGCTCCCTGCTCTGTGGGGAGTCTCCTTCTCCCTCTCCCTTTGCCCCTCCTCCCCCACTCATGTTCTCTTGCTCATTCTCTCTCAAATAAATAAAGTCTTAAAAAAAAAAGGGAAAGGAGACTTAGAAGTCAAACAGGAATTTAGGTGTAATGACTAGGACTCCTGAACCTGGAGGAAATCAGATACATTTGCTAATGGCTGTTCTACGCCCACAGAGGCGATTCATAATGTGGTCTGCAAATGGGTCCCATCAGGAGATCCAATCACAGCAAGTGAGGAAGAGAAAGGCAGGAGAGCAGAGAAATTACATAGAGAATTACAGCTGTTACCTTTATCTCATTAGCGTGATGTTCTAGAATGCTAAAGAACGTGAAGATAAAAACTTATAATCAAATGGTTTGGAGATCTATAATAAAGCATGATTTGTTTGCAGTCCCGACAGAGATGAGCATGGTGCTTTTGTCACCCTGGCGAGTGATGTCTGTGGTCCTCAGCTCCCACATCTACTAAATGGTGTAAGACGTGGAAAGTGCCCAGTACAGGACTTCATATACAGCAGACTCAGCACATGGCGGCTCTGGTAAGTGTCGGCACCAGCACTGACTGAGGTAATGAGACTTGTCACTCATTTTGTCCACTCCCCGCTCCACCTCCATACACACACCTTCTCAAACGCAGGCACAAACAGCCGTAGATTGTCTGAGGTCTTCTTAGCGTGAGCGAGAGACTAATAACCCTCTGCCAAGGGCCCCTGAGCCCCGTGTCTAGGAGGAGGCACACTGCACACTAAATTATTAACGACTGCACATCCCTGTGTGTCATCTGACTCTAACATAGGAACAAGAGGGCCACCTGGCTCAGGACCGACTCTTGATTTTGGCTCAGGTCACGATCTCAGGGTCCTGAGATGAAACCCTGCATCAGTCTCACCAGGCTCGGAGCTCAAGGCTGGGTGGGGCGAGGGAGGTGTCCGCTGCTTTCCCTCCTCCTTTCCCTCTGCCTCTCCCCTCCAAAATAAATAAATAAATATTGAAAGAAATGAAATAAAATGAGGAACAAGACATTGAGGACCATACACTACCATTTCCTAACTTTTGCTGGGAACCCTTCAAAAAAAAAAAACAATTTTTCCCTTAATTATATCTGGGTTCGTAATTGGTTGCACAGAAGAATCACCTGGAATCCTTCTGAAAAAGGATAATGCTCGGGTTCACCCCAGACCAATTAGATTGCAAACTCCCGGGAAGGGGGCTCAAGTTTGGATGGTTTTCTGAAGATCCCAGGTGATTCTATTGCATTGATTCATGTGCAGACCCTGGACCAGAGCACCAGCCTCACCAAGAAGATTGTTTAAAGTGGGACCTCCTTTTGGGGTGCCTGGGTGGCTCAGTCAGTGAGCCATCTGCCTTTGGCTCAGGTCATGATCCAAGTCCTTGGATCAAGTCCTGCATCGGGCTCCTTGCTCAGAGGGGATCCTGCTTCTCCTTCTTCTGCTCCCTCTGCTTGTGCTCGCTCTGTCAAATAAATAAATAAAATATTTTTTAAAATAATAATTAAAAAAATAAAATGTAGGATCTCGGGCCCCAGTCCAGATTGAATTAGAATCGGAACAAATCAGAATCCTCACTTCCAATGATCCATAATCACATCAAGGTTTGAGAAGTGCTAGTGAGGGTCAGGGATTCCCGACTCTGGCTACACAACAGAATCATCTAGAGGAATCTGGGAAAATGCAGATGCTTGGGCTCTACCCCCTAAGGCTTCTACCTAATTGGTCCGAAAAGGATCACGAATAAATATTTTGAAAAGTCACCCCTAAGCACATAAGCTGGGTGGCCAGGGCTGAGAACCACAATGTTAGGCAGGCACTGTCCCAGAGATGGAAGCACCTTCCTGAGGGAGCTCGGAAAGACGAGGTGAATCAACGTTTCTTTTCTCAGAAGGGGCAGAAAGAACAAGTATGGTCTCTCTAGTAGTATGGGGCCTCCTAGCAACATGTTTAAGAAATGTCTATTTCGGGGCGCCTGGGTGGCTCAGTGGGTTAAAGACTCTGCCTTCGGCTCAGGTCATGATCCCAGAGTCCTGGGATTGAGCCCTGCATCAGGCTCTCTGCTCAGCAGGGAACCTGCTTCCTCCTCCTCTCTCTCTCTCTTTCTCTCTCTCTGCCTGCCTCTCTGCGTACTTGTGATCTCTGCCTACCAAATAAATAAATAAAATCTTTTAAAAAAATGTCTATTTCATACACACATATGTAAATTTGTATTTTCTGTTTTTCTCCTTGTTATAACTGTAGTTTATTAATGACTAGATCTATGTGCATAATCATGTGTAATAAGCTGAAATACGGCACTCTCAGAGATGTGATTCGTGTCTTACTTTTACTCCTTGGCAATGATTTTAAATATTTACATTAAAACAAACAAGGGGATATTATAGGGTACAATATCCATTTCTTGTGAATTTTAAAGGTAAAATGCAAGACTTCAAAGAAATTTTTTTGCTTCAAGGAGACACTTCAGGCTATGCCCCAGACCTCCTACTGAAATTTATTCTCCCTCGGTCCTCAGGACTACTCTAGAGGGAAAGTCTGAGGAACACCGAGTCAACAGAATTATTTGAAATGTGACAAATCTTAATTGATGTGGTTTCAAATCCCCAGCAGTTGAAGCATCTCGGCTTATCTCAAATGCCAGAAATACTGTAACATTTGTCACTTCAATCCCAGCCAAGGGTCAAATGCAGCACCACAAGTAGAAGCCGAAATAAATCCCAGAAGTCATTTTGCAGTTGACTTCACTTTATTCACATGATAGCTATAGGGGTTGACAATGACTTCCTCTAACATTTCTTTCTTCTGATGGGTTGATGGAGAGTTTGGCAGCAGACAGTGTGGGGAGAAGGGACGTACAGGAAGACAGATCAGGGGTTTGTTACAATTCTACGTCATCATGAATCATTTAATTTTAACCTTGTGGCTTGTCTCACACATTTGCAGGAAGAGTTGAGGAATAGCTCTAATGCTCACTGGCAGATACCGGACAGCCCTTGTGGGCAGCATCTTTAGAGGACACACAATCGATCCTAACAGTAGAGGACCTCAGACGGTGTGCTTGTGGGTCAGAGGTGAGTTGGGGTGCTGAGAAAGGCATCCCATGACAGCAGTGGGAGCTCAGGACATCCAGCAGGCAGCTGGAGAGTTGCAGTCAATCCCAGGAGCGTGACATGGCTTCTCAGTACTGATAGGACCTCACAAGGAGCCACATAAGAATTACGGTGATCAGGACAATAGTGAAGTTGAGAAACAGCTCTCGGGTGGATATCCCCATCCTTCGAGTTGGCTCGATGAGAACGGACGGTGGACTTTGGAGGGCACGCCAAAGACCTCCTGCTTGTCCTCACCTAGTGGGAAGTAATGAAGAAAAATGGGGAGATTCGTGAGGGTGCTGTCCTAGATGTGGAAGAGCAGAGTGTTATGGGCTGAATGGTGGCCCCAACAAAATTTATATGTTGAAGCCCTAACACCCTGTGTCTCAATATATGACTGTATTTGGAGATCGGGTCTTTCAAGAGGTAATTAAGTTTCCATGAGTCCATTAAGTTGCGCCCTGTTCCACGATAGCTGGTGTTCTTATAAGAAAAGTAGACGAGGACAGAGACATGTACAGAAGGAAGTCTGTGTGAAGGCAGGGAAGGCAGTCATCTACCAGACAAGGAGGGAAGCCACAGAAGGAATCAACCCTGCCAACACCTTCTTTTTTAAATTTCTAGCCTCCGAACTATCTTTGGACTAGAGCAGCGACTCTTCCTGGGTCTCCATTCTGCTGACCTCCCCTCTAGATTCCAGACTTGTCAGCGTCCACAATCACCTAAGCCAATTTTATCCATATATCTACCTACATCTGACTTGATACTCACATATACATGTGGATCTCACACATAGACACACACACACACACACACACACACACACACACACCCTACTAGCTCTGTTTGCCTGAAGAACCCTAACTAATAAGAACCTGGGTTTTCTTTTCCCAACGTCAAAAAAGACCAACAAAGTCCTAATTTTTTTCCTGGGATGAACATATAGATCCTCTGGATAAAACACAAAATATTGTATTTTCTCTCTCCCAGGATGTATGTGCTTGCCTTGCTAATGTGGGGTACCAGCAAGCAAAGTTGCCGAAACAAAATAAAGCGTAAAAGTGGTATGGTTTAGTATTTGTTCTTGCTTGGATTTGCGTGCAGGAGCAGGGCCCTGTCATCTCTCAAGGGCTGGGCTGCCGCAGGTCTCCATCCAAGCCCACGAGTGCATGAAGGTCTTGCAGCAGCTGCTTGGCCTCTTCTAAGCCCTGCGCCGGGCACGGGCCCACCGGGGTCAACCAAAAGTCCCTCGCATAACGGGCACTCAGTCGACAGAGCAAGTGTTAACCTCATGGGTACTTCTATTTCAAAAAGGGCTTCTGCCAGCTATTTTTAGTCAAGTGCAGGATGTGCCTATATTGTAAACACTTCACAGAGCAGGGATGGTATCGTTAGAGTGTGTGCAGATCGTACGTGCAGGAAATCGTACTTCGAGAACATATGCAATGCGATCCATGAGATTATTGCCTTCGGTGATGTGGCATAATGAGTAGTCTGTGTTTGCAAACTGAATGAAATTAAAGATTAAAGATAAAATTTTAGATACTATGCAGTGAAAAAGTTTAGGGGGAAGGCGTGTTTTGTTTATCTGTTAAGGGTAGGAGTCCAGGGGGTAGGAAGTGTTGTTAGTGTGCTTTCGTCCTGAATGGCGTTTTTTAACCAACTAATGGCACTGAGTGATTAATTGTAATTATAATTAATTGTAATTATATTAGTAATGGGTGGAATTATTAGTTGTACACACCAACTAAATGATCGTTCTTCATATTAGGGAATGGTTGGTGTAATTAACACACGGGTTCTAAGGACATGGTGTCAACTAGGAGCTTGTCAGAATCTGGCTTTAAAAAATGGCTGATAATGATGATCTCTGTATCATTTTCCTTTGCATCGCTACCCATCATTTGGCCCTCCACATCCAGGATACAGTGAATTCCAATGACACTCTTCACAAAGGTTTGCTTGAAGGAGAAAGTAAACAGAAGAAAATAAATGGATAAAAGAAGTAGAGAGAATGTGTTAGAAGGTGTACAAGAGCAGAGAGCAACGGGAAGGTGATGAATCCAGGCCAGGAGCCTGGAGACAAAGGAATGGGAATCATAGGCAGACTCTTCCTTCTTAATAAAAAATCTAGTGCTGGTCCAAACACTAATTTATTTGGGTGCATTTTGGAGAAATACAGAGATATGCAAAGAGAGAGAGAGACTCTATTTATAATGATCAAAACAACCCAGTTCAGGGAGCAAAATCACTATCCCACCCAAACTGCTTTTCAGATTAATCTCTTAAATAAAGGGATCCATGGGGAGTAGCCCAACAGGACATACTCAGAAAATGTTATTGAAAGCCGTCCACAGCTCTGTTTGTGTGACATTCACAGCTCTGTGACCTTCACAACTCTGGCAAATATTACCACAATTATTCTCTCTCCCACGACTATAGCTAAGAAGCTGCGAGATGAGGTACGTTGTTTGCGTGATGGCACATAGCAACTTAGAGCAGAACCAGAACTGGCAGACTGGAACTAGATGTTAGAATTGTGGTTACGATACTGGAGTGATCACAAGAATGAGTTATTACTCCAACTAACTGTCCTGACTACACAAAGCGTGTATAAAATTTCAACACTTTGGGAGAACAATTTCACATTTTTTATTAAGGTTGTTAATGGTAACTCCCTATTACCTAGCTATTTCACTTCTGCCCTTAGAAACTCAAGCATGTGTGCACCAGGATCCATATATAAGAATGTTCACAGCCACATTTCATGATATCCACAAACTGGAAACCACTCAGGTCTTCATCAACATCCATGGGATGGATGATGAATTTTGGTACATTCATATATTTGAATACTATAGCGCAAAGCAAATATGTGAACTACAGCAACACACAACAAGATGGCTGTCACAGGTACAACCGTCTGGCCAAAGAAGAATTTACAAAAGTCAAACAGACTGTGATTCCATTAATACAAAACCCAGAATGGGGAACTTAATCATGTTGTTTAGGAATCTTGACCTAGGTGGTAAAATTATAAAGAAGAGAATAAACAAATTTGTCTCAGCAATCAAGATGGTGGGGCAGAAGGGAGAGATAATCAAGAATGGACTTCTGGGGTGCCATCAATGATCTCTTTCTTGACCTGGGTGACAGTATACAGGTGCTGCTTTATAATTATTGTCCAAAATATGTTTTATGATTCTTTACATTCAGTAGTCTCTGAATTGGCAGGCTACCTCATATACTTCTTTATTTCCTACAGTTTACTTCTTACTATTACTCGCACTTTGATGGTGAACTTGAATATTTGTTGTGTAATATATTATTTAAATAAATAGAACACAAATAGTGAAGGTGAGAATGTGTAATGAATGCAATTGAATCAACGTTCATGCTAACAGTAGGAAATGGACTTTACTATCACATACATTTATACCAAGGTTAGGCAGATGTTCAGATCAGCAACCTTCCATTTGTCTGTTGTTACCCCACAAAGACGATTGTGGCCTCGTTGTAAATATTCCCCAGAGTCAAGGTCCCACCATATGATCCAAAGTGACTGCCAGAGCCAGGAAAGCCCCGAATACATAGACATTGACCTTCTTTGAATGGAGGCTATAAGAATTAGGAAGGTAGAAATGCATACCACGAGATGGAAGAAAAAAAACAAATAAGAATAAATAATACTCTTTACATCTTAAAAAATACTGGACACAATAGGTATTGCCTATTTCATAAAGAAATGTAAATACACCTCTGTGTTTCTCATTTGTAACTTGTACACACACACACACACACACACACACTCCCTCTCTCTCTTTCTCTCTCTGCTAAGTATAAAAATCCTGCTGTCACCTGAAGAGGGTCAAGGACACACCTGGCTGCTGTAGGCTTCTTCTCTCTCTCTCCACCTCAGGCTCCCACTCCTGCTTGTCTCCCAGGCTCTCTGGACTCCTGGACTCTGGGCAGGGCCTAAAGTAGTCTGAGAGCAGTGGCAGTCACTGTGATGTCACTGATGAAACATCTCAAAGGAACCACCTCCAGCGGTTTGAGGCTATTTGTGTTTCGGGGGAATATAGACGTCTGTTGACTAAGACTCTAGTCCTTCGGCTGCTTATTTGTACTAACACCACACAGACCTAACGTCTTCCCTTCCCATTGACTGTAGGCACGATTAATGTGGATTTTACATTTATCTTACACATCTTCATGAATAGCTCTAACATGTGTTTCGAACACCACAAACCCAAAGCGATAGGCTAATATTAACAGATAACGCGGAAATGGGCCGTTCACCCTACACATCACGCGAGGGTATAAAAAAATACAACTTCGGTTTCCCATCCGTGTCCTTAACTATCCGAAATGTGCAGCATTCTCTGCCTTGCCCATGCACACCCCAAAGCGCGCGGGCACCTATATTCAACAGACATCTCCAGCTCCTCCAGACTGACCTTCATCCAAGCAGTGAAAGCTATCTCCTCAGTCACCTGCTCTGCATAACATTCCAGCTAAGCCATATTTTGGAAGTTTACACATTAATATACAGTTTCATCCGAGACAGCTGTGGAAGGCATGGTTTATGTCTCTCTGTCAGTAAGCTAATCCCGCAGCAAACTCATACAGCAAAAGTCAGTCCTTCAGAGAGACCTCGGGGGGGTAAAAGGAAACATGGTGGACACTAGCACAATCGTGAGTTATGGACCCTCTCTGCAAGAGACAGAAGCGTTATAAACGCGAACTAAAACTAGGCTGCTACAATGAATTTACAAGCAACATTCCTGAGGTCTGGAGGTAAATGGAGCCCTGAACTACTTAGCGGAACTTGAAAGCACATCAGCAAAACACTTTCCCCGGGACCCCAGCAACTGTTTCCTCAGCAAATCCCTTCCTTACAGATAATAGAGCAAATTCCCCTTTGAATTCCCAAATTCAGGGTCAATCAAAATAATGCATTTCCAGAAGGCATAAGCAAGAAAAATTCTCCCTCTCGTTGTGTTCATTGTCAGTCCTCTCCCCACCGTGCCTCATACTGCAGAAACGTTACTAAAAGACTTTCCATCCTTTTCTTCATTTTCAACATAAACCCACTGACAGATAATGTTAAGACAACATTCTGTCGCCACACGCCTTGTAAAAAGATAGCTTGGTGAAGTGACAGATAGTATATAATAATTATAGCTCAATCGAACATTGGCACTGATGTGTTGCCATCTGGCAAACCCTTTCAAATGTAGTCAGATTTCTGTCTTTTGCCTCCGAGCCCTTGCCAGATGGTTTCAAAAGCTAGGAGTGTTTTCCTAGTCACCAAGCCACGCCTGTACCTTTTTTTAACCACTCAAAATTATGTTGGGGGCAATCAAAAAGTTATATATTTATTAAAGAGCATTTGAAAATAATAAATCATAAAGAAAATTTCTATTAGCTATTAATCTCACCACTCAACAGGGGAAAAAAATCCTTTCTACTACTTTTTATTCATGTTCGGGCTGTACAGACACAATCTCAAATTGCCAAGATATTTTTGGTAAAGGGATCTGATCCCTGGAAAACAGTTATCTTTTTGGAGTCACGTAGAATCAAATTCATACTATTATGCCTTGGGACTGGTATTGTGTGTAGGGGACAAACATTTATTTTGTACATGTTCAAAACAGGATTAGCTGTGCAATCTCTAAAACATTATATATAATGGGGGGAATGTTAACATATTCTAAAACAGCTGGCCAACACGGTCAGTTTGGTGAAAATGGGCCAATGTCAATGCAACTGGGAGGGAAAACCCTATTGCCTATACATGAGTCATTTCAGTTGGCCTGCTTGGTTGTCCCACTGAAGTCTATCCACTTTGTACCAGGGACTGCTCTGCCCAGGACATTGACAAATTCCCGGATAGAGGCTCAGAAGCTTATGCATAGTAGGGGCTTATCCTGTGATGTCATGAGAGAGTGGGATTACATTGAGAATTTAGCTAGAATTTAGTTACCAGTTTGACCTGACCCTCTCCAGAAAAATATGCCACCTGAAGTCACCGGACAACTGTTCAAGGCCTATGGGGATAGTTTAGCCCTGAGGATTTGCAGGTCTTTCCCCAAAAAATAAATAACTAAATAAATCAACATTACTGTCTCTCCTTTAAGAACCTGAGAACAACAAGATTTCAAACCTCAGTGCCAAAGCAAAAGCATCCCTTTCAATTAACCTTCCTTGAAGTCCGCTGCTACTTTCCTTTCTGTGAGCAGTTCCCAAGACTTAACAGCACACATTCCCTCCCAACTTTCTTTCAAGATGCTGTTCCGCCCGTCAACAAGAAGACTTAATGGAAAATCCTTTGAGGTTATTTCTATGCCTATTAAAGTAGAATTCAGCCACAGGCCAAAAATGTCAAGTAAAGGGACACCTGGGTGGCTCAGTCAGTTAAGCGTCTGCCTTCTGCTCAGGTCGTGATCCCAGGGTCCTGGAATTGAGCCCCACATCAGGCTCCCGGTTCAGTGGGGAGCCCGATTCTCCTTCTCCCTCTGCTGCTCCCACTACTTGTTCTCTCTCTCTGCCAAATTAGTAAATAAATACAATCTTTTAAAAAATGTTGGGACACCTGGGTGGCTCAGTGGGTTAAAGCCTCTGCCTTCAGCTCAGGTCATGATCCCAGGGTCCTGGGATCGAGCCCCGCATCGGGCTCTCTGCTCAGCAGGAAGCCTGCTTCCCCCTCTCTCTCTGCCTGCCTCTCTGCCTGCTTGTGATCTCTGTCTGTCAAATAAATAAATAAAATCTTTTTTAAAAGATTTTTTAAAAATGTCAAGTAAATAATGTTCACACTGACGCTGGTACTGATGATCTGCTCGGCCCTTAGCCACCATCCTTCGGTGTACTACACGCTTTGAGAGTCAATGCCGAGCTCTTGTGCCTGGTTATTCCCCATTTCATCCACCGTTTTACTTTGCAAAACCTGAACACCTCAAGTCAGTCCATGACTTCTGGGTCAAGTCTATGACATGATGGAAGAAATCAGCAGGGCCTGATGAAAGGTGATAAGCTCTTAGCACATCGAGGGGACGAAGATGATGATTCGTCTCACCTTTCTCACCTTCGCATCTTCACACCCAGCTGCCCTTGGAGCTGCTCAGAAGGAAAGAAACCGCTTTCTGCTGTGCTTTCTCATTAACCCAAACACCGATGCAAGCCCAAAGGAAGAGGAGACCCTATTTCTTTGTTTTTTAAGATTTTATTTATTTATTTGACAGACGGAGAGCACAAGTAGGCAGAGAGGCAGGCAGAGAGAGAGGAGGAAGCAGGCTCCCCGCTGAGCAGAGAGCCGGATGCGGGGCTCGATCCCAGGACCCTGGGATCATGACCTGAGCCGAAGGCAGAGGCTTAACCCACTGAGCCACCCAGGCGCCCCGGAAACCCTATTTCTTGAAGCTCTTTCTGTGTCCTTGAAAAAGTCATGGTCATTACCTGTATTCTCAATCGCTTTTGGTTTATGTGTGATTTTATTTGTCTCAATCACTGGATTGCATTTCAAAGGCAGGGATGGTTTTTTGTATTTCTTTTGTCCTCCAGCCACGCATAGAACCAATGAAATATCAGAATAGATGCTCTAGAATGTATAGCAAGAGGCTCAGTTTGCTCCTCTCCTCCTGAGAGCCAGACGTGTCTGAGTGTGCCCAGCAGACATGAGGGGGGGAAGTTGATGTCGACATCACTTCTACTCATCAAAGGATCTAGACACCACCTGGGACAGAAAACTCCTTTGAAGGGAAGTGATCATAAAGTTACATGTGGTTCAGCAGCAGGGACACTACAGATGGTCATTCTACTACACATAACACATCTGGCTAGCCAAGTCCCATGAGATGTGGATGTCAAAGTGGGACTAAACGTGCAAAGGGAAAATATATTAGGGGAAATGCCTGAGAGAGAAAACATGGAGAGAGAGAGAGAGAGAGAGAGAGAGACTGAGAGAGCCATCGAACGGCAAGAGAAAGAGATGGGGGGGAAAGGAAGAGAGGTTGGGTAGAAGCATCTCAGACCGCAATTCAGTTCTAAGGGAAGTTTGACCAGGCTGCTAGGAAGCCCCAAGTCACAGTCACACGTCAGAGACATCCCGTGTCTCCCAGGGAGGAGCTGGCCTTGGTCTTCCTCCCAGCTCAGCCACTGACTGGGAGAGCCCCCAGGGCACATGGCTTCTGTGTGGCCACGATCATGACTTCAGCTGGGATCCACCTCGACGTCGCTGCTTTCGGTGAGAGGCACCATCTCCGGCCCCTTACCCATATGCTACCCATCCTGCTTCACTACAGCCTGGGGTCTGGGGCCTAGATAAGGATAAAAACTGTCCGTAGCTTGTAGCACTGAGCGGGAGAGAGAGAGAGACGTTCCCTCGACCTGCGCCATCTCGCAGACTGCAGCATCGAGGGAATCAGCAAAGTTCCTTCCTTCCTTCCGTGAAGGGTCACGGAGCCTGAGAAGCCGCCGTAGGGATCAAGACCAACTTGCACTTCGCATCCAGCTGTGCAGGCCTCAGTAGCAAACACTAGTGGAGAGGAGCTGAAGCGGAAGGTAAAGGAAATTGCAAGCACGGTGTGGTAGCCAGCGGCTCTTGTGCCCGGGGCCGTGTGAGCCACCTCTTCAAGCTGCTGGAAATGGTCAGGAGGAACATGAAAGGGGCAGCCGTCTTGCATAACAGGTGGGAGCAAGAGCCAGAAAAAAAAAATATGTATTAGTCCTTTTTATAATAACCCATTTCACGTCCTGGTTTGGGGACATGACACCTGTTACCATCATTTGACTTGGAACCAATTAAATTCCTCTTCTCTGGAACAAGCGTATTTCTACTCTATAATAAGATTCTGCAAGCAAACAGCTTTCTTTCAGCGCATTAAACAAAGCAGCCAGGGAGAAAAAAGAAGCAGCCAAAAATGTGTTTACTACTAGGCTAATACCATCTGCCCTCAAAACACTCCCAGATTTCAGCCTGGCTTTGTTATTTTTCCTGAT